GAGAGAGAGAGAGATTTGAATTATTTATAAGTATGCTAGAAACAAAATTGCAACAAGTGAAATATTTTATATCTTTTATCATAACAAGCAATGGAGAATATACTATAGAGAATATATAAAGAAGCATATTTTTATATACATACATCTGAAGACATTACAACTCTGTGCGATACGTGGTATTCCAATTGTGGATATGTGTATGACAATCCTGATAAAGTCTCGGACACAGCATCGTTTACTGAGTTAATTAAATTTTTCGACGGTACCATCGTAATTCACGAATTAAACGAAACGCTATGAATATTACTGTCTCGTTGAATTAAGCAAATCAAAATAAATTTCAGTTTGATATGTTGATCTCTGCCTTTCGATTCCGGGTTATCGGAACGGTTCGTGTGACGTATTACATATTTGATAACCGAGATCTATAGATCGAAATGACGCAACGAAATTAAACGAAATTACACGGTTGCTTGCTGAATCGAAGTATGTTTAACTGCAAAGTATAAATAACGATTTATGTTTCTCTTACATCTTTCTGTGCATTTATGTAATCGCTAATTAAGTCATAAGAGAGGGAATTGAGACGTATATGCTTGGTCAATGTAATTACTTCTTAATGTTAATAATCGTCAATAAGCGTAAACTTTTAACGTCAACGTCTAAGCTTTTATAATATGTTTTATTATATATGAAAACTAATCATTCAATCATATTTATCAATCAAAACTTATCATATGATATTACAATTTTTTCTTCAATTCTTATAAAGAATGAAATTTATCTTATTTGATTATTGATAAAAAATATTTTTATTAATTATTTTATTATTATTATCTTTTATTTTCAGCGACAATGCCTGGAGATTTTTCGCTGGATCAACCAATCAAAAAATTTGACTTTAAATTGGTCAATCGGCAACGTGAGCAATCGAATATCCAATCGGTACTAGGCATAGACATAGACCCGATTGTCCACGTTGCTGATTGGTCAATTTAAAATATTTTTTTAATTATTAATTCAGTGGAAAATTTCCAAGCATAAATCTCTGTAAGTGGCTGTGTCCAATTAAAACGTGATCAAACAGGCATCCGATCCGAGGGATCCGATTAGCGCACAATGCTAATTGGCTAATTAAATGTAAATTTTTTGTTTGATGGTCCATTGGAAAATTCCTAAGCATCGGCTGATGTGAGTGGCTGTGTGCTCTAGTGCGCTAATAGGACCACCCCGTCAAACGCTCCCGTTATTTCTATATACAATTCGTCTTTGCTTTTTCATTTATTAACATGGCGGAAGGTCACGTGACGCGGGATCAGAGATTAAAGGTACATACATACTGATACAAAGTGCCCATACTAGTTATACTGTGCTTTCTCAATCGTACGTTTTCTGCCTGAACGTAGCCGTTATGTATGTACTGTGCTGTTTGTGGTAGTGCGTAATAGCTTGTAATTTTAAAATGCCTATACAAAAAAAGGATAAGAAACCAGTAAAATGAATGATAGATAATATCAATTTTACACATGAAACGATTCCAAATTGTGCTGTTATCGTGTTTTTCCAACAAATTGTTTTCCACTGCACATGCAATTTTATCTCTTACGCATATAAGCATCTTCCGGTCAGCCACGAGATAAACGGGAGCTTTGGCGCCAGCATAACCTCGCTTCGAGAGAACCGCAAGAACGGTTTTGAAATACTTAACGGTTTTTGATATTTCGATATGCGACTGATAATATTTTGATAATTCATCCGAAGAATGAAGGATCTAGAGGAAGTCAACTGCGAGGTAATATGCCATGTTATAATATTCAGTTATCGATATAATCAGTTGGTAGTAGGGATTTTATAAGGTTTTCGATTAATGTTTTTCTATTTTGGATATAATTGTGCTGAAGATATAAAAGTGGATATTCTATTTGATGAACAGGGATAGTCGTCATTTTTTATTATCTATTAATTTTACCTATAATTTGTTTTCTTGTATAGATACGCAGGACTGTAAATCTTCAATTTCCTGTATCAAACTGGTTAAGGAATTTAGAGTATGGCCAGTCTATGAACTTCCAAGAACAGAATAACATTGATTATCGTGGAGGGTTTCTACATAATGCAACATGTGCATGGCTGAGTTACGGTTGTCATTTGGTAGTCTTCAATGTAAAAACGGGAGAAACCATTAGCAGATGGACGTTTCGTGGAATTATAACATCCATTTCTCAATTTCCTGCACAATCTGAAGAAATTCCATTACTATTGGTTGGAATAGACAATTGTGCAAGCAAACTGAAAGATTCTTCTGGTTTATTATGTATATTTGCTTGTAGTACATCCCGTGTCTTGAGAGCTATCCGTGTAAGTATTATTTAAGCATCCTTTAAATGTCTTAATGAGCCACTCAATTTCCTATCGATAAAAATTATAAAAAATTATAATAGATAATTTTTTTATACTTTGCATTGTCTTTCAGATGCCATATGGAGTAGAACAAGTATGTGTTGTAGCAGGTGGTGCAAAATGGGAGGAATTTAATGATAAGAGACAGGATAACGTACTCAATGAAATGGATGGAATAGCCTGTGTAGTTTTGCGTAATCTTCAGCATATTATGATTGATCTCCGAAGATCTACATGGGATACACATAATTTTTTTGTTATGGATGAAACATCGCCTGCAGAGATAGATTTTCTATCAGCGAATCAAGTTATTGGCAGGCATCATTCTAATCGAGAAAGACATGCAGCATATAATTTGCTCAATAGTCGTAAGTATTATAGACGAACAATAATTATTGAATATCCATCTAAGTATTCTCTATTATTCTCATTTAATACTATATCGATACTATTAATAAGAATGTGAAAAATAGGAGAGTTATACTATAGTTCATATCTGTAATTATAATGCATAAATTTTTGATTAATACAATGATAACAATTGTTTGAAAATTCAATACATTTTAGGTATAGAAAAGTACATTGGCTTTAACAGAGAGGATTTCGAATTATCTTCCTTACTCGGCGACAATTTGACCACTGCGATTATTAGTTCTACAAAGATTGGCTGTTTAATTTCTGGCTGTTTAGGCAGAGTAATAATTTGGCAGAACGATGGTACCATACAATGGATCAGTACACCCGTCGATGAAAATATGACGGTCACGCATCTGGCCTTGTTAGAACCCACAGATGATCCTAGACCATTTTATTATTTGTGGGTAGTTTTTCAGGACGAATTGTCGAAAGCACCACCGATATTGCGGATGTACGCTATGCTATTTGAGAGAAAATATTGTAACAGAGAGATAAACTTGTACTTTAACTTGGAAGATGAGCCCAGCCTCAAGTTTGAGTCAGAGTTGAATGAAGGGGACAGGATCATCAGTTTGTGTACCATTGAAAGAGAATCCAATCCAGAACAAACCGAATCGACTGGTAGACGAGGCGAGGATAATTTGCTGCTTATTGCTACCAATGTAAGAGTACTACTTTTCGATTTGAATCAATGGTACAAGGAGCAAATGCCGCATACTGTCAGCGAATGTCAGAATCCAAACAGCATACTGGCAACATACCGTACACGATCAAATGCACACAACGAGGAAGACAATCAGGTCATAAGTTTGGCATATGTTCCATATAGTTTGCAAGAATTTCTCAGTAACGGTCCAAGTCCGCCAGAGGAATTGTTCTACCCCAACTCATTATCACTCGAATGGGTAGAGTTAAACCCAACGAAATTGACATTCTGGATGACACGTGGTATCCAGGCCGATTTGCTACGTGAAATAGTTACAGCAGGTCCAGTTATATTGATACGGCCATTTGAAACGTTCCATAGATGTCTCTCTATTGGATTGGTACCTTTTAACTCAGAATGCTCGTTTGCTAGCGATCAGAATGTACAGCGAGAGATGCTGCTGTCACTTTGCCTGGAACAGCTCTGGTCCACTTTTCTGGTAAAATGCGCCACAGAATGGTCGGACGGTAGTGCTTCTTACTTATATCCCACTTTTCTTAAATGGGGCGTTCAGAGAGCTTCTATGATAAAAATGATGGCGGATCGGCTCTGTATTCCTTTGTTCGATCAGTCAGGCAGCAGCATCGGTGAAACTGATGTGAGAACTTTGCGTTTTTGCTCGCAACAATTGCAATGTCTGTCCAATGTAGTAGATAAATTGCCTTCCACGACAATGGATTTAACAAAGCAACGAAGAACATTGAGACGCGTGTCTACATATTTTCAAGTACTTCTTTGGTTCTATGATGTAGGACTGTTGCCTGAAACACAAGATTTGAAGGAGAAAGAAGAAGACGAGAATGAGAATGAGGACGAGAACGAGAATGACGATGAGGATGAAGATGAAAATGAAGATGAAGATGAAGATGAGGATGAAGATGAGAATGAGAATGAGAATGAGAATGATGGCGATAACGAAGAGAAGAAAAAGAAGAACATGCTGTCCATCTCCTTAGCGCTAAGAGTGCCTTATCCGTATGAGAAGCTTTCGATGCTTTACAAAGAAAAACGAGCACAATTTTCAAAGGATAACGATGGCAATGGCGAAAACGAGGAAGACTTGTTTATCGATGAACTGATAACGCGTGAGTGTCCCATGTTGAAAGCACAATGGGAAAGAGAAGGTAGCACCATCACGAATGGCTGCTATCCACCGCCATCGCTGCAATCTTTGCTACGTTCTTTTTTAACCGATTGTCATCACACGGAAACAAATGAAATTAGTTGCAGGCATCAGATCACAATTTATCTTCTGATGGATCTCGCAATGTTATTGCATCCCGCGCTGTATCCTGCGGTGAAGCAGCTGATTAAATATCCGTCTGCATTCATGATGAGCCCTAGTCTTATCAAGCTCACTCAAGCGTTCTGGCTGCTCGATCACGAAAACTATCAGAATTTTCTTGATACAATAATCGGCCAGTTGATTTGCGATTCCGATATCAAGGACTGGCACCATAAACTCATATTGCGCACCTTGGTACGTAATAATCAACACAAACTGGCGCTCGTATACCTTCGTGTGAGGAAACCTCCCTTGTCCTCCATGGAAGAACAAGGTATGGCTATGAGTCTCTCAGTCGAGTATGGTCTGGTGCAATCTGCTTTTCATCGTCGGCCGCCATGTCATTACGAGCAACTACTAACGAACTTCTTCCGAGCGTGCAAGAAATACGATAGACTCGACGAGGTTTTGCATTTGGTATTGGATTCTGAGGAAGAGGAAGTATTTATCAAGTTTCTCGAAGAGAATAAGATGGAAGATTTGCGATTATTATATTATCTGCAACGATGTCGTTATACGGAAGCGATCGGTAGCCATCCGATTCGACAGTATCAGTCGAACTTTGTCAAAGATGTACAATCCATGTCGCTCAATAGTCAAATGCTCAGTGCATATGAGATGACTCTACCTGACGTCACGAAACGATTTTCTACGAATGCGGCCGCAATAAATTCGGATACGGATTTGAAGGAGCGTTATCCCAGACCAATGTCGCATTGTAAAAGCCACGACAAGCTGCGAACCATATACGAAACGGTGATTACAAAGGCCAGAGAAACCTATCAACGAGGAGAGAAGGGTCAGATCCCATTTGTGAGCGCACCCTGTACGTCACTCAGACTTAATAATTACGGCGCAAACGTCAATTGCGTTTTATTCCCGTCGCTGATGCGCAAGAGTCGCGGTAAACGCATGATTGATCAAATTTATGAAGAAGATGAAGATAATGCAGACGATACGTTGGACAATATAAAACGCCGAAAACTATCAGACGGGAACATTTCGTCAAGTAAACGAGCTTCAGAAGAATCGGGATTGATGGCAACTTTTGAAACGCCTCTGGTAAAGCGCAAACTTGATACATCTATGAACAAGGATCGTATCTTGGAGACACCGCAATCAATTTTGAAAATTAGACAACTCGTAAAAAGTTCTACGTCCTCTGATATCACGACGTCCCAAACGAAGGGAGACAGATTATTGGAGAAAGAGAGGAGAGTCAATAGACAGATACGATTTAACATCAATCAATCCAAAAAAGCTTTAGTGAACGAGGAAGAGGAAAGAGATGTAGAGAAAAAGGAGGAAGAAGAGGAGGAAAAGAGAGAGGAGGAAGATGACAATGAGACTGATGCTCCAAACGCGAGCAATGATGGGTTCATCAGTTCAAATGTGAACAGCAAATCATATTACGAAGACACAGTTTTGAGTGACAGTAGCAACACCTTCAGTAAAATTTATGCCCGTCCACGACCCAGCCTCAGAACAAGTGTCTTACAATCGTCTGTAGAAATGTCACAGGAAGGTGCGAAGAAAGCGATTGATTCATCTACAAATTTGTTCGCCATAACTTCCTCGACTTCCAAAGAGACGAATAAATCATCCAACTTTACCCCAAATATATCGAGAAATCGTGACTCGTTATTATCGGCCTCCATTTACTCGCCCGCTGTTCTATCTTCTGATAGTAGCGTCGATATTAACTACTCGAAGAAAGCAGAACGTACCAGTCCATTACAATGGAGATTGTCTACGAAGAGAGACAGTAACGATAAATTTATTATTTCGTCTACTCCATTAACAAAGATTGCAGTTTCTAAATCTATTAATAAATCTATTAATAGGCAAGCGATAAAAGTAGACGATGTGAGTAATGTGTATAAGACAGAGGAGGATCTCGATGTGCTAAGCACATTGTCTGAGTCTAAGGGTTCTGTACATATTGAACCGTCTGCTTCTAGTGAAAGCGATCTCGCGGAACAAGGAAATTTAAAGAAAAATGTAGAGAGCGAGAGACAAGACAAATATAATAACGGAAGAATCGCGAGGAATGAGAGTCCAAGTTTGCAAAATTACGGGACGCCTATAGCCTCTGAAAATGTTGGATCGAGTTCGACCGTTTCGGAAGAATTTGATGAAGAGTTATTCCAATTGCGAGACGAGGAAGACAACAATGAGCAAGAGGAGGTATTCGAGAGTCTATCTACGATTCTCGAAGACACGCAAATGTGTTTGGATAGCCAAATTTTTTCGGCCTCCCGTTTATCTCGCGAGATGTGGGATCCGGAATGTCAAACGGATGGGTATAACGTGACGAAACCTAACGGCTTGCAAGAATCGGTACAGATGAATGATATTGTTTTAACCGATGACGAATCTGCGAGTAGCAGAACTGTGACACCGTTAATATCTGATGAAACTGATAACAACAAAAGAAAGAGACATTCAGTTGATTCGGAGCATATATTATACGACATGCCAAATATTACAGATGACGAATCTGATTCCAGCACTAGAGAAACCGAAGAAACAAAAGCGAAAAACGGTAGATATTCCAATTTACAAGGATATTATGTGACGCGGAATATTAAAGTGGAGAAGAATTGTGAATCCAATGAGACGAGATGGAAATCAGAAATTGGGAGAGATAGCATTTCGAAAAAAGATCTTGAGAATGCTCTGCAACCGCAATCCGATGTCGATATCGAAAATGAGTGGAAAAAAATTTTTTCAAGTTACGTAAGGCTAACTAAAATAGAAAGCAATAGTATCGAGACTTCTAAAGGAGCAACTGAGGAGATAGCCGAGAGGAAATTGTCAGAGGTTCAAAATAACTCGGAAAATAAGACGAATGAAGTTGAGGCTACGGATGTTTCATTTGTACGTACTAGATTGCGTAGAGCAAGTTCGATGATGAAGGAGACGACGAGTTCTCCATCAGAAAGATTACGTGATAGAAGAGCGAAATCTCTCGCGAAAGACATTATTTCGCTAATGAGTTCGGTAGATAAGAGTTTGGAGTCGAAATCTGCGGTAGAAAGTTGTAACGCACAGTCGTTAGCAAGAAGGAGAAGAGATCGTTCGTCCGTGACGAAAGAAATATCGCAAGTCGAGATGAAAGATAGCGACTCCGAGAGTGTCAAGGAAGAGTTACTACCACAAGTAAGGAGAAGCACAAGACTCGCTTCTTCCGTGAGAAAAGAATTACAAGCAGATGCCCCGATCGAGAGGAGTTTCGCGAGGTCAAAAAGTGTGTCATCACTCACGAAGTTGACGAGTGACGATGAGGAAGGCGGGAACATAAACAAGAAGTCTCAGCGACGCGTGAGGAAATTTTCGATGTCGTCCGATGCAGACGCTACAATATCAAGCAGATCGTTGAGATCGTCCAAGGAGCGATCGAAGGAACGAGATGTTACAATGACCCGAAGACGCGGTAGTTCAGTGCCTAAAGAGATGACGGCGCAGCCTATACTATCACGACGACGTAGGTCCAGTAGTATTATAAAAGAAGTTATCCCGGAAGCCGTCGAACCTCAAGAGGAGGAAAAAAGACTCGAGAAAAAGACTTTCGTCGTGAAAAATACGGAGGAAGTTGTCGGTAGACTAACGAACGCCCGCAATCGAAGTGCATCGATGCTGTCTATACCGGAGGAATTAGAAGAGATTTTGAGTCCGCCATTGAGAGAAACGAGATCCACCAGGAGAAAGGCTGCGCAAAGTGACATGAGAGATAGAAGAGCGTCCAGCGCCGATGTAATGTATACAGAGATGAAAAGAAGAGTCAGGAATGTCAACGCCAGAAATATCACGGTGGAACCAGCTATAGCAGAAGAATCCATGGAAAATGAGGTGAGAGTAAAACTCAAAAGAGATAAAACCGTGGATAGCCAGGAAATCGCGCAGAATGCTCCAACGTCCAAGTCAGCTACGGCAATCGACAAGACGAAAAAGGAGCCGGTGAAGCGGAAACGAGATAGATCGCACAAAACTAATGTGAATCAAGAGACTAGCAATCTGTTTTCCTTCTCGCTGCCGGAGGAAACGAACGATGTGCCATCGGAGAAAGGTAACTTGTAAAATTGACCGCTTGCCGAGTGAATGGTCTTATGATCATATAGAAAATGTTGTATGAATAACAAATTGAATTTTTTATCAATATCGAATTTTTCTCTCTTTAAAATATTGTGACTCTTTTGAAAGCCATTTTCTAAACTATCCTTTGAATTCCTTTCTATAACTTCCAGATTTCCATTACAAACATAATATACATAATTTATGCTAAATGGAATTTCATGATCGATTACGTTCGCTGGGACGTAATACCATTCGCTTATCGAATAGCAATATATAAATATTGAATTGATGGCATTTGACGAGATCGTGATTTTTTTGTGCAGACATCGCAGACATCGGGGAAGTCCCGAATTATGTGTTCTCACCACCCCAAACCAGATCTGAAAATATTTCTCAGAACCAATATCGTAGGTTGTTACTCATTAATTGATTTTACACAGTTACAACCAGCATTCTTCTTTTGCCGCTATGTATTCTTTCGCTCTTTTAAGCTTCAGTTATCTTTATCTGTCGTCTCTTTATCTGAGAAGAAAAAGATAAAATCAGCTTATATCTTACTTTTTTTCCACAGAAAAGTAAGTTCATTTATACCGAGCTATTATCAGAGAGGAAAGCAACAATCTACTACATCGAAACCTCATGGCATCGTCAAATCCGGCCGTTATGCTCGTTTAATCGTGAATACTTTTGGATCACAATTTCGAACAAGATTCGTTGTATCTAAAAAATCCAAAAGTACAACAAATTAGAACTGGAAACTTCCCAGGAGTTGTAACGAAGCTAACGCACATATTATGGATTTGTAAATTTTTGGATACGCTCCCTCACATTCATTTTCACTGTATCGCATATTTTTCTTTTCATCGCATCATTTTTTCATCATGTCTGCTTACGTCTATCGAAACAGTACGAGATTATTCGTTGCAAGCATTAAAATTTTTATAACATTCGTAAGCACATATTATGCGTAAGTATTTCAGATTCTTCTCAACATGATGCGCGAAAGAAATGATATAAAATATTATATGCGCGTGACAATTGTCAATCAGCCTTTCAGTGTCTATATTCTGTCAAAGATATAATACCAAGTAATTTTACTGGTATAATGAACAACTCTATAAATGATAATAAATGAAGACCGAATTTGAATTATCATATCGTATTTAAAAATTGTGAAAAAATGATTGCATTATATTGATTACTAATATTGACATTCTATCGGACAGATAGATTTAATTATTTGCAAAGATAGGGAAGCAAAAGCAGAGAACTGAACGATGTTGTTTTCCTTTCTTCTCTTTTTCTAATCCATATATATATATATATTTTAAGTTGTCAATTATTTTGGTGCTGGAAATATATGCTAATATGATATTGTGATTATCAAATATGGCATCTCTTTTTTTCTTCTTTTTAACAGATAGAATTTCTCTTGAATAATCTATAGAATTTCGAAGATTGTTTTTATCAAAGATTTTTGTAAACCTGCATATAATAGATATGTTATACAAGGGAAAAAAAAAGTAAATGAAGGAAATGTGAGAAGAAGTAAATGTGCCCGATACACTCGAGTTGGAAGCACTTTCACATCCAAAAAAATTACATTATACATATGTCACAGTTGTATGATAAAATACTACGTTCTATTCAATGTTGGGTATATCATATTATTCCTATATCTACGTCTTTGCGGACAAGTGTACAGAGATACGACTACGATTGAATGTCAAAAATGCATTCTCTAATGACGAACTATTATTGAAGATATATAAGTGTTTACCACATGTACATCCGCGCATGTACACTTCTTTTCTGATGATTAAAGTGGTATTTATTTCGTTTTTACACATACATATATAGATCTCTAAAAATATCAGCAGTAATTAGTTTTTTTTTCTTTGGGAGATTTACAATTTCTTTCTCTTTTTTATGTTAATATTTTCAATGCTTGATTTGTAACACAGGATTTTTTATTAGATATTTTGCATATAATAATATACCCTCCTATATTTTCGGCAACAAGAGACAATGTATTATATCTTTGTAAATAATTTATTCACATAATTAACTCATGTATAGTTGTATTGATACAATAAATGTAAAAGAAAGATAATATACGATAATATACAGTATCAAATGAAAAAAATTCCACTCACCACAAAATGTAATCATTACAAATATATTCTAATGAAATATATATTGCTTTAAACTATTGCTTTACTTGATAGAGATTCTTATTGTTTTTCAAATTTATCAATCCTTATGTAAATTAAGAATAATACAATAAGTACATACAATAAGTCCATTATACATATGTTATGATGACAGAGAATTGATGAATAAATTTTAATTATATTATTTAAAAATTGGAAATTTAAACTTTTTTTTTTTTT